CCAAGGTCATAAATTAGGCAGAATGCCCCGACAAGAATTGTCTGGCATAACGAAGAGATTCTGTTTCATTATAAAATACTGCATTTGTCATTCAAGACAAATACTAAATGATATTTGAAGAGAGTTTATATGGTATTAAACATATGGCTAGTCTTAGAAGTTTAGTGCCTTTTTATGTGAAATTAGCACAAAAAAAATTGCACTTTTAATGCCATAGCTAGAGTACTAGTCTCCCTTCATTACCAATAACAAAAGATATCCCCAGCATAGGGCCCATTAAGCCCCTTGGGGTGATCCAACTGTAAACATTTCAGAAGGATTTAAAACAGCTTAAACATACGGGAAAAGCATAATCTCAGAAGTAATTTCTATATAAGGGTCTATTAATTTTTTTAAATAACCCTGATAACATTTACAGACAATACCAGTACATTCCATCTAAAGTGTGTCTGTTCTGTTGATAACCCATACAACGGTTAAGGTACAGCTACCCTACCTCAAGCTTTACCTAGTCTTCCGAGGCTGAAAATAACAGTTCTTTCTAGCTTAATTTACTTCCTTACCAACAGAGTGATGAAGTCTGCCTCCCATTGGGATAACCCACCATTTAATGAAAGGCACATTGTTTTCTTTCATGTTGTCAAAAACTGTCCCCAAAGAGATTCTGCACTGGCCTAGGAAGATAGTATTCTATCTTTATAGTTAGAAGATTAAATCCTTTAATTCAACAAGCATTTAGTAAAGATCAACTGTGTGCAGGACACTGTGCAAGATTCTGGGGGATACGTCATTTTTAAAAAGCCCCCCTCTTTTGGGGGTGGGTGGCAGGAGGTAGGAGGACACAGTACACACACAGATATGTAAATTTCAGGTGAAATATGTGCAAAGCAGAGATATGGACCTATACCAAAGACTAAAGAAAACTTTGAAGACAGAGAAATCAGCTGAGGGGATTAAAGGAAGACTTCGTTGAGAAGATGGTATCGGAACTGATCCTTGAAAGAAAAGAAAAATTACGAAAGGTGACATTGAGGAAGGCTTGCACTCCAGGCATAAAATAAGATCTGGGTGAATACCGGAGGTGGGAAGTTAAATTTGAGGCTCAGTTAACATTTGTTGAGAGTATCAAATGAGATAATGATTTGTAAAGCATTTAGCAAAGTGCCTGGCACATAGTGAGTGCTTTATGAATGTTGTTGTTGTCATTGTTGTTGGTTTTATTCAAGATTGCCTGGAACATACAGTGCACAATGGGCAGTAGTATAAAGGAAGGAAGGAAAAGCAGGCTGTGGCCAGATTATGGAGGGCTTTGCATTATATTTAGAAGATACTAGGAAATCTCTGAAGGTTTTTAAGTAGGGAAATAATATGAAGACATAATGAAGGGAGACACTGCGATTCAGCAGTAGCAATGCCAAATTTGTAGTTTGAAGTTCAGGGTTCAAATCCTAGCTCTGACCTTTAATAATCTTGGTGACCTTAGGCTTTTCTCTTAGCCTCTCAGTTTACTCATGGTAAAATAAAGGATAGTAAGATCATGGAATAGGAGATGGGAGCTGGCCTCAGGGTCAGAAAGATCTGTGTTCAAGTCTTGCCTCTGAAACGTGCTGTCTGTGTGATCCTGGGCAAATCACATGCCTTATCACTGCCCCAAGGACTCTAACATGTATATTGTAGAGTAGATGTTCATCTGAATCAGCAGAGGGGGAATCTTCTCACAAGTTCCTTCCATCACTAAATCTGTAATCCTAAGATTATGTCATGGCAGCTAGGTGGCACAGTAAATAGAGTGCCAGGCCTAGAGTCAAGAAGATTCATCTTTCTGAGTTCAAATCCAGCCTCAGACACTTATTTTCTGTGTGATCCTGGGCAAGTCCCTTAACCCTGTTTGCCTCAGTTTCCTCATCCACAAAATGAGTTGGAGAAGGAAATGGCAAACTACTCCAAGATCTCTGTCAAGAAAATCCCAAATGGGGTCATGAAGAGTTAGTAATGACTGAAAAATAACAAGATTACATTGATACTTCTGTACAGAATGGAGTAGAGAGGTGATAAACTGGAAGCAAAGAAACAGATTTGGAAGCTCTTAGGATGGGAGACCTTCTGAACTAGAATAGCAACGGTGTGAATAGGCAGAAGAGAACAGATGCAAGGGATGTTTCAGGGATAGAATTAATAGGACTTGGTTAATCACTAGATGGAGGTAAGGGAAGAGGAAGAATCAAAGATGACTGGGTGTCTGGGAGAATAGTAGTGTCATCCAAAAAAATGCAGCTGAGAGCTTGTCATAATTCATGACTGTACAGCACAAGAAACTGTTGTGTTTATATTATATTTAATATAACTTGTTAAAAAACAATATCAAAAGATATCGATTTTTTTGAGAATTACATTTCTTAAATTTCCTAATTGTATAAATCTGTAAGTGCGTTTTATATCTATTATTCTAACTTTGCACATATTAAAAAAAAAACCCAACACACATACTAGAGACATCAATGAACATTAATGGACTAATACAGTGGCTCATTAATGCTTAGAAAGCTATTGATATGAGGTCGAAACATGATGCATGTTTGACATCATTCTTTCTTTGTTCTAGGCTTTTAATGTTCTTCCTTAAATGGCTCTACAATGAAATAAAACTCCCCAAAAAGTCACTGAGAGTGGGCGCAGAATCATAACAAGAGAAACACTATTTCATTTTTATCTGTAAGTCATAACGAGAGAGGAGAAGGAAGGAAGGGGAAGGGAATAAGCATTTATATTGGGTCTACTATACGCTAGGTCTGTGTAAATGCTTTACAAATATATGATCTCATTTGATCCTCATAACAATCTGAAAAGTAGGTGCTGTTATTATCTACATTTTACCAGCAAATAGAGGTTAAGTTACTTGCCCAGGTTCGTATAGCTAGCAAGTCTCTGAGACTTTATTTGAACTCAGATCTTCTTGACTTTAGACCCAGGGCTCTATCCATTGGAACACCTTGAAGTCAGGGAGACTAAATTCAAAGCTGGGGCAGCTAGGTGACATGGTAGATAAAGTGCCAGGTCTGGAGTCAGGAAGACTCATCTTCCTGAGTTCAAACCTGGCCTCAGACATTTACTAGCTGTGTGACCCCGGGCAAGTCATTCAACCTCATTTGTCTCAGTTTCCTCATCTGTAAAACGATCTGGAGAAGGAAATGGCAAATTGCTCGAGTATCTTTGACAAGAAAACTACAAATGAAGTCACAAAGAGTAAGACATGACTGAAAAACGACTAAGAAACAACAATAAAATCCAAAGCTAAATTCCCAGTACTCTGGTGAATTATCCCTTTGTGAGCAATTGTGAATGCATTTCTGAAATCAGCAGATTGCTAACTAATTCTGTTCCTTAGAAAAAGACAACTGCGACAACAAACAATTCATAGATGATGACTGAAATTGACCAATCTGTATGATAGATGAAGGAAAAAGAAAGAATGCAGTCCAGTAATATTTATAAAAGTAACAAACAGAAGTGATCAATGCAGAACTCCTTTCAGGGAGCAAAGAGATTTCAGGAATGGTTTATTTCCTTCTTATGAGCTGGATTGCTTTAATATTACATACCAGATACTATGTCATGTTACATATACCCTAACACATGGCTCAAAACCTTAGCAGTGATGATTTTCTCAGCTGAGAGACTGATGTCTGAAATTCTAACTTGAATAATAGCTATGAAATTATCTGGCTAATGGTGTGTGTGTGTGTGAGAGAGAGAATTTTATCTTACCAACATACATTTCCTGAATCATCACCTTCTGTCTCAAAAATCATTGTGATCAGAAGATGGGAATTCCTAAGAGCATGTAGGGACAGCATTAAAAGACTAGAAATTCAGTGGCCATCACAGTACTTCATACCAGTGTTTTAGCCATTTGTAAAGATTCATTACTATGTTGGTTGTGTTTGTTGACTGAATTTGAGTGTCTGACTTCAAAAATTTTACTGTGAAAATAGAACAAGGCCTTCATTATCCAGGATACAAGAAAACAGAACCCTCATTTAAAATAACTCCTGTTTAGGGAAATAACTAAATAAAAACAAAATAAATTCATTTGACAGACTTAGTAAACAGCTTTATGTGGTGCCTAGAATTTTATGCAAGGCACAACCACAATGTAATCCTAACGATCCAAGCCCTTGAATGGACCTCAGTCATCAAATATTTAGTTATGCACACAATATTCTACTTACTAAGGCAGGAAAAAGGACAGGATATTTTGTAAAGATTTCCAACAACGAAGGTTGAAACAAAAAGGCATGTTTAATTAAAAATTAATCTGGAATCCAAATTAATCCCAACACACTATTCCCTAAGAATTCCACTAATGGTAATATTTCTGTATCTTCAATGAGAAGGCACTGAATATATAATAACTAGAGTAAACCCAAAGTCACATCAGAGAGTAAATACAACTCCATGATGAAGTGGACCACAACAATAGTCTCCTTGCTGTGGTCCATACAGTGAAACCATTTACTTATGGATACTGACTATGTTTATCTTAAGTCTTCCAGATCATAGAACATGCCTATATAACAGATGGATAAAAGAAAGCCGCTTTTTCTTCCTGTCTTGTCCAGAACAAATGGTCTCAACATAAGTCCACATTCATTTGTTAACACCAGGGTTACCAAGGATGCCAAATCCTTGCTTTTAAAAAGCTTGTCTTTTTCTCCCTCACACAGAACAGCTCTGTGGTCTTTTCTCTTCTATCTGAGGCCATGTCCACATTTCTCTGTTTAATCCAGTCCCTGTGCAAACAATGAAGTCTCTGGCAGTTTTAATTGACTCAGGGATGTTACACTTCAATTTGCCCTCAGTGCCACTAACCCTTCAACTGTCTCCTTCATTAAATGTCAATCTGCCCAAGGAAAGTGTGCCTTTTCTATGGGGCCTGTTTTTATGGCTCACCATTCTCTCCACTGGCGCATGTGTTTTTAAGTGCATCAAAATGGCCTTACCTGCTGCCTTTGCAACATCTGCAGTTGTCATGTTTTGGAAACTGGAACTCACTTTGAAGGTCACTGCTGGTCCCAGCACACTGAAAGAGATCATTTAAAACAAAAAGTTCATCATTGAGCCCTCTAACGTAATGTTCCTTTCCTATGAAAGCCAGATGAAAAACATTGACATATTAAGTGGAAAGCATCCAAGGCCACTGCTAGACCCCCCAATTTGACCTCCCCTGGGTTTTGTATTTCATAGGCAGCATTATTCTTTGGTCCCCTCTTCAAGTAATTCAATCGATGTGCTTTCCTTTACAAAGCACATGCTTCAGTGCTCTTATCTTTTAAAAAAATATTCAAATCAACCCCAGTAACCCAATAATACCAAGCAAATGTTCATGCAAGATTGAGGGGGAAATTGTCACAGAAAGAGATTTCAGCTTTTAAATTCCCAAGGGATTATGATAAACAACTGGACCCTTAAAAAAATCAACAACAGAAAAGAATATGTACCAGAAGTCATTAGGACTTTTACATAGAGTGAAGAGAACAAACAGGCAGAATGAATCCTAGACAGAAATGACCAAATAGGTATGAATTACCTAAACATCATGTTGAACACTGACTTCTCTAGGTCATTTTGTGCCAGGATCCCACATACTTTAGAAACAAATATCATAGAATGCTATGTTATCCCAAATTAGAGGCCACTAGGGATTCAGGACCAATCTTTAATGAAAAATAGACCAGCAATAAAGGACCTGAATCTTCTTTTTGAGGAGGGTTATTTAGTTTCCCTGATTGAAAACATACAGATTCCTAGCTTTATAGGTTAACTTGTGATGGAGAAATATGTCTGTAATCAATCAAAGAACTGAGCAACTCTATAGAGAAAACCTCTTACAAGTCAATTGTGGCCTACTGATGTAGGTGTAGATCACTTACCATTGTCATGCTTCCATTGTCAATTCCCACCAATAGCATTGTGTCCCGTCTTCAATTGGCATATAGCCCTGTCATAATACTAAGAGAGAGCAGTTCCCCAACTGGGAAAAGCTTGGGGACTCCTTCCTTAGAACATATGCATTGCCATATTGGGTGAAACCCATAGCCTATCAAGCTCATACTTTGCTTCAAACTATGGTACCTAGGGACATGGGGGCAAAAGTAGTAGCTATTCCCTATGCCATCATCCTCAATATATAGGATCAACCAATTCATCCACAAGCATTTATTAGACTTTGCTTATATGTACTAAGCACTGGGAAAAGGCAAAAGGCTTGCCCTTCAAAGACATCACACTTTACGTGGGGGAGACAACATGTAAATAAATACATAGATTCATACAAGATAGATACAGAAAAGAAACATTACAGAAAGGTAATATTAGAGGGAAGAATCTAGGAGATGGGTAGACTAGGAAAGAGCTCATAAGAAGGTGTTGTGTCAGCAGAATCTTGAAGGAATCCAGGTATTCTAAGAGGCAGAGGTAAGGAAAGAGAGCTTTCCAGGCATTGAGGACAGTCAATGAAAAAAGCACAGAAATAGGAGGTGGAGGGTCACCTATGGACGGAGGAATAACAAATAAACCAGTAGACCTGTGTCATAGAATGGGTGAAAGGGAGTAGAGTTCAAGAAAAGTGGAATGTTAGGAAGGAGACCTACTAGAATATAATAAATACAAGTAGCCATCACTAGGACAGGGGCAGTGAGGGAGAGAAGGAAAAAAAAGGAAAAAAAAAAGAAATCTGTGTGATAACTTTGTTGTATATTTGCAGGGAACAACATGTTTTATACAGTAGATTCGCAGTTTCGTGTGCAATCATCCTTTGTATTAAGCTGTGTTATGAAAATGTTTGTTTTGTTCATGAACTGAAAATAAAATAAATTTAAAAATACATATGTACAAGGATGGTATATTCAGACTTATAATTTAGAAAAATCGCTTTGGAAGCATTGGGTTAAAAGATTTAGAATTCAAATGGATCCTAAACTTCTTAGTCCAGCTATCTCGTTTTATAAGAGAGGAAATACAGCCCCCAAAGGGGATGATCACATAGGTATAATCAAATTTATGGCCAGGTCCTCTCAATTAAAATCTGCCTCACTACACGAGACTGTGCCTCAAGCATTCCTAACTTCCCATAAGAACTCACTAATGACTTATCGTGATAAATTTACGTAAATTCTCTCTAATCATCTTTTCTTTTTTTAATTTCAAATAATGTCCTTTCTACTAGCTTTTCCTCTTCTTTTTCTTCTTAAGATGGAAAATTTGAAGGATATACTTACAACTGAATTCAATCCAATTCACCAATATTAATTAAGGACTTACTATGCGTAGAGCACTGTGCTAAGTTGTGTGTGGAGATAAAATATGAATACTAAGCTCATGGAGGTTATCATCAAGTAAAGGAAAAAAATAAACCTACCCTGTAGATTTAGTAAAACTATATTCTATAGTTTAAAAATAAACTACAGAAATAAAAAAAAATCAAAAGATGGAAAAGGAAGGGTTATATGAGGTCTAAGGGTGGTAGGGAAATGACCAGATGATAGGGGAAGAGAGAAGAAATGGGAAACCCCTTGTATCTCCTGATGAAGTTCAGCACATGAAAGCCCACAGTACTATTTAGTTAGTTGCCTAAGTCCAAAGTCTGCCTTTACAGGTACACTGTTGTTGAACCATCCCATTATCAGACTCTACTATACCAGTAGCTGGTATATATCACCCATATATTACTTTTTCTCAGCACTTTTGCTCTGTGACTTGTAAAATCAACTTCCTAAAGGAAATGCAAAAAAAAACAACAAATACATTCTTTGAGTAATGATAATTAAAAGGGCAATAGTAATTCAAAACTGCATATATAATTTGGCAACTGACTAATATTTCAATTTTCAATTCCATTTAGTTCAGTAAACATTTATTAAGCACCTACTATGTGTCAGGCACTATGCTAAACATGGGGGATACAAAAAGAGGCAAAGAACGATCTCTGTCATCAAGGAGCTTGAAATCTAATGGGAAAGACAGCATACAAACAAATATACACAAAGCAAGCTTTATCAAGGATAAAAAGGGGAAAAAATAGTTTCTCTATTAAAATAACAGAATCTTAGAGAAAGAAAGGACCTCAGAAATTATTTATTGCAACTCCAATCCAAAGCATCCTTCCCTATCTATGACATTCCAGGCAAACTTGAAAACCTCAATTCTAAAATTGTTTCTTGATTTCCTATGATTTAGGATAACAGAAATAAAGCTAGAAGGGACCTTTGAGGCCATATGTTCCAAACCCATTTTTACAAATGAAGAAACTGAGGCTAGACTGAAGAGATTAAGTGACTTGCCCAAGGTTACTCAGATAGTGAGCAACAGAGGTGGTATTTGACCACAGGACCTCTGACTCTAGAATTAGTTCTTCCATAGCATCATTTGATGCTACTCCCCTAGAGTACTCTGCCATTCATACAGCTTCAGTCACCAACCTTATCCCTAAAACTTTAATGGCTTTCTCTAATCTTCTCTAACTTTCAACATCTTCCCAAATCTGGTTCCATCATTCCTAAAATAACTTATTGTGAAATATTCACCAATCAACAAATCACAATCCAGTCAGTCAGTGGTCGATGAGTCTCTTCACTGTGCAATGAATATATCACCCTCTTTTCTGCTTTAGTTAAGTTTGCTTGTGATAGTCAACAGCTAGCTTCAATAAGCACTTATTACTTAGTATTTTCAAGTCGCTGTCCAAAGTACTAGAGATACAAAGAATAGCAAAAACCTCCTACTGGAATGTTCTGCCTTCTCTTCTCTAATTACTTAAATCCTACTCATCTGCTAGATGACTAGCATTGCCACACAGTCCAAATTACCTCAAAACTTATCACTTTACTTTTACTTTTAACAAACAAGTCTGGAAATTGTTGAGTTGTTCAGTTAGTTGTAGTTGCATCCTCAGAGTTGTTGAATTGCAGAAAGCACCTTAAAAATAATTGTTGTTTTTGTAACTGTGCAAGAATCTGTTCTTTTTAAAGTTTTGCTAACGTCTTGTTTTTTCATCACATATGCTTTTGAAAATACTTCTCTTCCTTCCCCACCCTTCCTGTCTTCTCTTATTACAAAGATAAAAAGAAAGAAAACAAGTGACATGCTATACCATGAGTAAGGAACCTGCAGCCTTGAGGCCACATGCAGCCTTCCAGGTCCCCAAGTGTGGACCTTTGACTGAATCCAAACTTCACAGAACAAATCCAGGATTTGCTGCAGGCTCCCCACCCTTGTATACCATATCACTGCTACCACCTCACATTCCTGGATTTTGCAAAGAAAACCTCCCATTCCTGCCCAGGAATGGAGAATGATATACTTTCTCATCTCTTCTCCAGGCCAAAATTTGTCATCATAATTATCTCATTTAATTCATTTTATTATTTTTTCTGCTTACATTGTTGAATCAGTGTATATGGTTTTCCTAATTTTGATTAGTTTGCTCTGTATCAATTCGTATGCATTCTCATGTTTACCTGAATACCCCATATTCATTGTTTCTTACAGAACAATAACACTTCATTATATTCAGGTACCACAATTTATCTAATCAATCCTCACTGCCTTCAAGAGATCTTAATTTTCCCAGTTGTTAGTGTCCATCCATCATAATAACTTTGCATCCATTTTGTATATATCTATATTTTCTTTTCTGTGAATTTACATATCTCCTAGGACAATACAAGTTCCTTGAGGTTAGGGACTCTCTCACTTCTATAGTTATGTCCTCAGTGCCTCGCACAGTGCCTGGCACATATTGCCAACATGCAATAAATGTTTATTGATTGCTAGATTAATTAAATTGATCAGTACTCATTTTATTTTTTAGTTCCTTGCTGTTACAAAAAGTGTTATTATTTTGGTGTATATTGAACATTTATTTCTTTCTTTAACCTCCTACTACCTGAATATATTGATATTTTAGTCATTTTTCTCTTTTAAAAATTCCAAATTTTTTTCAGTAAGGTTTGACTAATTCATGGAGCAACTAGTTGTCAGAGAAGATAGAGTGCTGAACTTGGAGTCAGGAAGAGTCATCTT